TTTTTTTTTTTTTTTTTTTTTTTTTTTTTTTTTTCTATGTGGCAATTTATGTAAGGAGCTTTTTGTACAACCTTTCCAGTATGATCATTTTACGTGCAAAAAAAATAAAAACAAAATAAAAATAAAATAAAAATAAAATATGGCCGAAATTGCATAGATATAGCAGGAAAGGAAAATATCATGAGTGAGGTGATTGTGTCAAATGGTGGTGGTAAGGCATGTCGTGTGCATAACCAACATGTCACTCAGTGTTCAGCTAAACACATGTGGCCGTGCGGCTTGGAATAAAAAAAAAAGAAAAACTTTAAACAAGCCAAAGGAACGACAAAATGAAAATCTACATATTTGCATACGTGTGCCTTTTATCAATTTTCGCCACAAGGGGAGTGAAAATCGAGAGACCTTGTAACTATATCTGCACGCAAGTGTTAAGGAGTGCTTATGGAACAAAAAAGACGGCGAAGAGGAAAGCATTAAATTTGAATCCCCATGGGGAGGAAACCTACTTGGAGGCGGTTCGGTCGAACATAGCCAAGGCTGCTACCCGAGGGGTTAAGAGTCCCTTCGGTCTGGCCATCATCACGCTTGCGCTGGGTTCGCTAGTGGGTTAGTGCGAGGCGAGTTGCACATGGGCGCGGTGTAACGCCAGCCACTGTTAGCGTTATCCTATGTGCATGTTCGTCGATTCTCCTCATGTTGCTTTCTGCCCCTTCATCGCTTCACCTCCACCGGCCGCATTTTCAAACTCGTGACAGGCCTCCTATACAAACGCAGGAAAGAAACGACGGGAGTACACGGATCAGGTGGGTCCAGCGGCTTGTTCAAGTACAAATGCGTTAAATGCAACTTGGTGATATTTCCATCCAAAGGCAGGGACCAAAAATTCGTAAAGGAGGTAGGCCTCTAAGTGTGGTGTGGTGAATTGGCTTCCGCACCCCCCCCTCAGACTTTTTACAATCACCACAATGTTATGCACCTGTTGGTCTATCCACTGTGTGTGCATTTTTATTGTTGACTCATACAAACATGTATCTTCATTGTTCTTTTCAACACGATGAACATATGACTCCTCCCCCTTTCTTACCCCCCTCCCGCCCGTTATATACAGAACTTCATTTGTCCTAATTGTGGACAGTCCAACATGAACAAGCAACCCAATTAAGGAGAGACGACCTGTTCCCTTTTGTGGCAACCCCCCCCAGAAGAATCTTCCACAAGTGAGCATACATGATTATGCATTTTCGCAGTTACGCGGCGGGCAGACACAGAGAGAGAAGACACGTCTGGAATGTTTTTTTTTTTTTTTATTCAATTTAGAGCATTTGAAAATTTATAAAATGTTCCATTTGGTTAATATTGCCAAGTTGTGTTCAGTGTCGAATGTCATTTAATTCGGGAAAGTGACGGCGCAGCATGGGATGGGATGCAACATGGGATGGTATGCAACATGGGATGGTATGCAACATGGGATGGTATGCAACATGGGATGGTATGTATAACAGGGTCGCTGAAAAAATCGCAGGCAATGAGCAGCTTACTTGTGGCTCACGCCGCGGGACATAATGCGTAAATAAAAATGCCAATAAAGTACAATAAAATTTCAAGTGGTAAAACGCCAAAAATATGTGCATTGTTAATTGTGCAATTTTTTTTTTTTTTTTTTTTTTTTTTTGTTGGCAACGCTTTGGTGCGTGGCTATCTCGCTGTACCGCATCATTTGGTCACGCATTTTCATGTCGTTATTATGTATTTATATGTTTAACTTTTTTTTTTTTTTTTTTTTTTTTTTTTTTAATGGGCACATGAGCTGCGACTCTCTGCGCATGACGGCCATGGGTTGCGAAACTGTATTAAAATGTGTAAAGCATGTTGAGAATAATACGACTTATCACGCCGCGCATCGTTTTAGCCCACTCTTTATGTGTGCACTTTTTCCACAACCCGGTAACCGCTCAACCCGAGCACATCAAGCACTGGTCGTCCTTATTGCGACGCAGTGGACACACGACATTTTGTGTGACGGTGGATTCAGTAGAAATGGTCTCCCTGGACACCTCCCTTGTGATGGTTACTCCCTCTTCGTTCTTCATCTTGGCTGCATTTTTGGCCACCTGTGTGTCTACTGTGAATTTTATGGCATCCGTGGCGGCCTGCGTTCTGAGGTAGTACGCGCCTGTCTTCAGCCCCTTCTCCCATCCGTAGAAGTGCATACTGGAGAGCTTCGCGAAGGTGGGCTTCTGGATGTAGATGTTCAGCGATTGGGACTGCAGGGGGGGGGGGGGCACGACAGAAAATGGCGAAAAATATATACATATCAGCATGTGTGCATAGTGCGGGTGTTGTTACATGAGGGGAACGCGGCCACAAGCCACATTGTTATGCAAACGCCCCCTCGTTACCTGGTCAATGAAGGCGCCCCGGTCGGCCGCCATATCGATGATGTTCTTTTGCTTGATCTCCCACACCGTTTTGTAGAGTTCCTTCAAGTCGCTAGGTATCTCGCTGATATACTGCACGCTTCCATTATGCGCAATGAGCTGCTGTTTCATGTCTTCATCCCAAAGACCACGATCGAACAGGTCCTTAAGTAGGTGGGGGTTCACTACAAAGAACTCTCCACTCAACACCCTCCTATAATAAATATTACTTGTGTATGGCTCAAAAGATTCATTGTTGCCCAGGATCTGTGACGTGGAAGCAGTAGGCATTGGAGCAAGCAAGAGAGAATTCCTCAATCCGTGTTTCTTTATTTGTGCCTTGAGTTTATCCCAGTCCCAATACTTATTATCCACCTTCACATTCCACATGTCAAATTGAAGAATTCCTTGGCTAGCTGGACTTCCAGGATACGTTTCATAAGGTCCATACACTTGTGCCAATTCCATGGACATTTCCAATGCAGCATAATACATGGTTTCGAAAATTCTTTTATTTAATTCTTTTGCAGAGTCAGATTCATATGGATATCTGAGTAGCATAAAGGTGTCCGCCAACCCCTGTACTCCTATCCCTATGGGTCTGTGTCTCTTATTGGACCTCTCAGCTTCCTTCACAGGGTAGTAATTTCGTTCGATTATTTGATCTAAATTACGAGTAATAATTTTGGTAATTTCGTAAAGCTTGTTAAAATTGAATTCTCTTTTTTCCACATTTACAAATTTGCACAAGGCGATGGAAGCCAAATTACACACAGCCACTTCATCAGGAGATGTATATTCAATAATCTCACAACACAAGTTACTACATTTGATGGTACCCAGATTCTTCTGATTCGATTTAGCATTACAAGAATCCTTATACAACATGTAAGGAACACCAGTTTCTATTTGACTTTGTAAAATGGCAAACCATAAATCTTGTGCCAGCACCGTTTTTTTCCCCATATTTTCTTCTTCATATTTTAAGTAGAGTTTTTCGAATTCTTCTCCCCATGACTCACTTAACCCTGGACATTCATTTGGGCACATGAGAGTCCAATTTTGATTTTCCTTCACTCTCTTCATAAACAAGTCAGGTACCCACACAGCATAAAAAAGATCTCGAGCTCGAAGTTCTTCCTTACCATGATTTTTTCTTAAATCTAAAAATTCAAAAATGTCTGAATGCCATGGTTCAATATAAACTGCAAAAGACCCCTTTCTCTTTCCTCCTCCTTGATCCACATACCTAGCTGTATCATTAAATACCCTAAGCATTGGTACTAGCCCATTGGATATTCCATTTGTTCCTCTAATATATGAATTTTGTCCTCTAATATCTTGTACTGCTACTCCTATCCCACCAGCTGTCTTGCTAATTAACGCACATTGCTTTAGTGTTTCAAATATACCTTCAATCGAGTCAGATTTCATGCAGAGGAGAAAACAGGAAGACATTTGTGGCCTGGGCGTACCAGAATTGAACAAGGTAGGTGTAGCATGTGTGAAATACTTTTGTGACATCAAATGGTATGTCTCTAATGCCTTTTCCAAATCACCAATGTGGATCCCAATCGATACTCTCATCAGCAGATGTTGTGGTCGCTCAATTATTTTTCCATTAATACGAAGGAGGTATGACCTTTCTAAAGTCTTGAATCCAAAATAGTCATAGTTAAAATCTCGTGTGTAATCGATTTCCTTGTTCAGTCTGTCCTTATGTTGAATCATGAACTCATACACTTCCTTACTAATTAGACTGGCAGATCTTCCTCTAACATCTTTGTACATATACAGCGCTTCTGCCACTTCTCCTATATCATCACTGGTATTCTTGTGTAAATTATCTGTAGTAATTCTCGCCGCCAGGATGGAGAAATCGGGATGTGTCGTCGCCATGTATGCACATGTTTGGGCAGCTAGCTCATCCAATTCACAAGTCTTAATGCCGCTATACATTCCGTTTATCACTCCTTGGGTTACTCTAGCAGGATCTACCAACTCGTGTAATCCATATGATAGCCTCTGTATCCTTTTCAAGATCTGATCGAATGAAATATCTTCTTCTTCTCCTTTCCTGTTTAATACATACATCGTTTGTATTGGTTTTCCTGAGGGCGTCCTCTTAATGCCATCATCAGACACCCGACCCGATGGGCTTTTCTTCATGTCTACATTGTCCACTGGGAGTGGTAGTCTTTTCGCGTCGTCCGCCATTTTTTTTTTTGGTGACACGCGTGTAGGGATGGTGAAGCTTGGACGGTGACGCTTTTGCTTCAGTCGATTGATAGGCGGCCTTGCTTATGTACTACGATTAAGGGAAAAAAAAAAAAAAAAATGCGTGTTAATTGAGCAGTGGGGTCGTGCATACATGTGTGCATGGTTAGGGGCATGTCCACTGTGGGAGATCATGCCCCCCGTTTATAGCGTCTAATAGTTCACAATGAAATCCCCCCCCTTTTTTGTTGCTATGCCACACAGGACAGTCTCCACTGAGACGGAGAGGAATTGTATATGTCTCTCTCCTCTCTGCTGCCTAACTGTCCACTTTTATGTGTACACTAAAATGTGCTACGTTTTCAGTGGCGGGTTACTCTGCACGCACGTTATCTTATACATAATGGACACTTTGCGTACTGTTTTTTTTCCCTGGGAGGATCTCCTTTTTGCGTGGAGATAGCTACTCAACAGGATGGCTTTCCTTTGAAGTAGGTCTGGCGATGTGTTCAGTGGGAACTTTTTACGGAGACGTAAAATCGCTTGGTCCCTACTGTACTTCAAACCGACATGCACGAAAAAAAAATATGCCCGTCGGTGTGTTCACATCGTGTGTACGTGTCTCTCCAAAGTAGAATGTCAGACAAATATTTTTCCTTTTTTTGGGGGGGAGGAATATATTCGCTCGGAATTTTTTTTTTTTTTTTTTTTTTTTTTCTCCCTCTTTTGCGACATGCACAAACATGTCAACCCAGTGCGCGCAAAATGTATTTTTTTTCCCCCATACAAATAAGGCAAGCGGGGGGGAGAAGGCAAAAGAGCTACTTCTATTAGTTGCTACGTGTAGACATGCCAATTTGTGTGTAAAATGAGCATAACGAATGGGTGGAATTTCTCTCCCCTCTCGCGCTTGTCTCATTCGTCTCCCCCTTTTGTTGTCTTCATTAGGATGACGCAATTTGGCCACTTATACAAATGCGTGGGAAGACATCGCTCCGATTGGCTCTCATGCAATCGTGTCCTCATTTGCTCATGTTCTCTCACCTGGTCGCGTTCTCCCCTTTGGGATTTTTTCCCAATGTCTACGTGTACCTTGCAGGGGGATCTAACTTGGAGACTTTTTCACCTGACCCTTTGCGTGGCTAACAAGGGGGGGAAAAAAATAAAAAAAAAAAGGAAAATGAGAAAATGAGAACATGCACACAAATGAGGGAAGCAAAATGTTTCTTGTTCCCTCTCCAATAATGTACATACGCCTGTGAGGAGTCGCCCTCCCGTGGGCATACGGCGTGCAAAGCGATCGACGCCCTTTTAACTCCTATTGACGCAAATATGTATGCTCTTACATGGAGGGACAAAAAAACTGTCGTTGGACTTGTTGGGACGCTGGCGCATATACTGTGCCTAATATCAACTGAGTGGAGAATTCACTGCGGAAATTTTCTCCACACAGGAATTATCTTAACAACTCTCTCACAGACGCAACACTTATGCTCACATGTATTATGCA